ATATCGAATATACTTAGAAAATCATTTGGAAAATCTTAAAATCCATTTAACTTAATTTGTTATATTGAAATATTAAAATGTTTCAACACACACAAATTCCTTATGCAGAAATTACATATCCAAGGAATGTTACTTCATTCAACCAAAATTCACATTTGGATAATTTAGCATATAGCTTCTTATCTCATAAAATCTGGAAAACTATCTTCAGATGTGTATTATGTTATTCTTCTAACTTCGAATACACCAATATATCGGTAATGAATACCACTACGAATTGGTCCAAATAGGGTTGAAATATTCTGTTCATCAGATCCATAAAAGCAGCCGGTATATTTGTAACTCCAAACAGCATAACAATGAACTCGTAGTGACCATACCTCGTTCTAAATGTCGTATTTGGAATATCTTTCTCTTGAATTTTCAATTGATGATATCCCGACCGCAAATCAATCTTAGAGAAAACTGAAGCTCCCTTCAACTGATCAAATAAATCATCAATTCTAGGGAGGGGATACTTATTATTAATAGTCACCTTGTTGAGCTACCTATAATCAGTACAAAGACACATTGAATCATCTTTCTTCTTGATAAACAAAACTGCAGCTCCCCAAGGCGATACACTTGGTCTAATAAACCCTTTGTCCAACAATTCCTGTAATTGGATTTTTAACTCCTGCAACTCTTTTGGAGTCATTCTGTATGGTGCCATTGCAATGGGCGCTGTTCTAGGCATTATCTCAATTTGAAATTCCACCTCCCTATCCGGAGGTAAACCTAGCAACTCTGCAGGAAAGACGTATGAGAACTCCCTGAATATGAGAATTTCTTTAATCCCTTTCTCCTTAGTTTTAATATCCAACACATTAGCAATGAAACCCTGACATCCTTGTAGGAGTAATTTCTTTGCTGACATCACATATATTACATTTTCCAATGGATTTCATCTTTCACTAAATACTATAACTTTCAAACCTTCTAAATTGATCAACGTTACCCTCTTCAGTCTACAATCAACATTAGCATGATAACGATATAACCAATCCATTCCCAGTATCACTTCAAATTCGTTAAAGGGTAATTCCATCAGATTAATAGGGAATTCAATTCCCTGAATCCGTATGGGACACCCTCGACATACTCTATTTACCCGAGCACTGTGCCCTAACGGATTAGTCACTATCACATCATTACTAGTAGTTTCTAATTGAATTTCCAATTCTCTCATCAATTTACTACTAATATAAGAATATGTAGACCCAGATCAATCAACACCAAAACACATTTATCATACAGTAGAAAGGTACTTGCAATAATCTCCGGGTCATCTCGATCGTCATTGGTATTTAGATTATAAACCTGAGCCGTCGAGCGAATATCCTGTTGAGACGAGTATTCAGACTGATTTCTTCCTCTACCCCTTCCTCCCTGAGTTATAAAAGCAGACCTCTCTAGCTGTACGGGCTCCCCGACTATCATTGAACAGTCTCAGATAAAATGTCCAGTGTCCCCACATTTGAAACAAGCTCCAGAAATCATTCTACAGATCCCTTGATGATTCCTTCCACAATGTTGACACTATCTAGCTTGGCCTTGGTTAGATCTCCCAGTTCCAGATCATACAGAATGTGTTTGTCGGGCTCTCATCAGATTTGATCCTCTAGCAGATGATGTAACTGACTCTAATCCCGCCTGGGGTCGAGAACCAGCATCTCTGCCTCTTTTTGATGGTGCAACACTAAAAAAAAGCTCCCTTTCTTTTATATGTTTGAGCTCTTTGATATCCAAACCTTTTATTCTAAGCTCTTTCCAGAGCTTTAACACGGTTAGCTACTTCTTGAAATGAGAATAGATTCAACATAATCATCATCTCTTTCAATCAAGGATGCAAACCCTCCATGAACCATTCACAAGCATCATTCTCTGTCGGAATAAATTCAGCAGTAAAACGGCTTAACTTGTTGAACTCATATTCATACACAATACGATTCCATTGATTCAGATTCATAAACTCTTGTTTCATCTGTCGGATAAACTGATCTCCTATATACTTATGCTTGAATTCCTCTAAAAAAAAGGACCAAGTTACCTGATCACTGATCATCCTCAAAGTAACATTGGTCCCCCATATTCTCGCTTGCCCTCGGAGCAAGGAGACCACTCCATACAACTTTTCCACATCAGAACAATAGAGCCCATCAAGCATGATTTTCACATCATTGAGCCAAAGGTCCGCAACAATATGACCTTTCTCAGCTTCACCCTTAAATTTTGGAGTTTCTAATCCCTTCAACTCCTTCGTAACATTCATTCTCTGAGTTAAAGTTGAAGAGGCAGGAGGTTGGAAACGCACCAAGATAGCGTCCAACGTCCTGAAGAAAATATCTTGATCTCCTACAGGCACTCCAGAAGGTGTATGCTATTCACCTTTCCTGGCCAAGGCAGGTGAATTACTACTCTCAGCTGGCCTATCGTCTCCCGCTTCACTTCGAGAACTATAATGTCCGAACATCTAATAAAACAAAACCATATAATTATATTAATAATACAACATACTCATTATCCTATCAGATCAGAAGCTCTCACCATTTTATTGGCATGTATACTTTTAAAGACATTATAAACTTCGGTTTATGCCTAGAATCGGCTAAACCATAGCTATGATACCATTAAATATAATACCCCAACCCATATCCGACCATATACAAATATGAGATGTCACATTAACTTTTCAAAACATTTGCTTTTACAAAATCTCATAAAATTTAAAACTTTTATTAAAAACATCATTACTATAATTTACATAAATACCACCAAAATGATTGCAAAATCGATAAGAGAACATATGTTTTAAACTGTAATTACATGCCAACATAATTATTGCAACAAAATGACATACTGTTTTAAATCACTTCTGATCTGATCGCTGCAATGGAGATGTTGTCTTTCTAACCTTTAACTCTGATCTTCTTATTTCTTGGTACCTATATATAAACCACTTACACGCTAAGTCACATACTTAGTGAGGCATAATATAACATGTAACAATGAATTCATGAAACATGCACTTCTATACATTCCATAATAACCTTACCATTTGCATATATTTCCTCAACTATAACATGCAAAATTAAAAAATGCACAAATGAAACATATCATCTTATGAGGTTTTTAATATAGTTTTATCTTTTGGAATACCCATGTACATTACTGAGAATCTGAGGTACGCGAGTACACTGAGGTTGTGCACATATGTTATGACCACAGCTCGTATAAATTCCCACTAGGGGCACTTAAACTTGTCCCGAAGGACCACTCCTTAAGAACCATATACATATTCCAATGGACCAAATAAGTGTACCGAAGTATCGCATATATGTTCCAAAGGATTACATATATGTCCCGAAGGACCACATAGAACCCTAGACTCTTGGCATGCCAATTATACCTACAGTTCTCATAACACATAACATGGGCGTAAATATGGAATCATGTCACATTTTCATATCTCTTCTATCACTTCTCATATAAATACATCACATATTGTATATGTACACATATAATCACTTGTATTATAATACATAATTTGAATTGGTTCTCTTATGGTTGCATATATCACATATTATATCATATTAATGCATGTATGAGTTATGCACATACTCATTATAATCATAATATATGCATGTATATGAACATGAAATAATGAAATCAAATATAGGGAATAGACTTATCACAAGTCTATTTCCATAAAACAATATCTATACTAACTATGGTATGTACTTACCTTATCCTCACTTGATTCGAATCAATCCTAGAACTTTATCTCTCTCTTGACCATTTTTAGTTATTCGATTGTTCCGGAACTCGCTTATGCTCGATATCTACATAATCATACATTATATAAATATCAACACTCCAATTATCATAATTTGATCCTTAATTCTTAGACTAAAAGAAAGGCGTAAATTTCAATTTCTATTTGAAGTAGTACCGGTACCTCCTGTAGGGTATCGATACTTCCTTGCTGGAGTATCGATACCAAGCCTGGTATCGATACCCATTTTGCATAAAAATTATTGTTTCAAAAATTGGTACCGATACTGACCTTATGATATCGGTACCCTTGGTATCGATACTACATTCCAAGTATCGATACCCTATGGATGCCTTCGACAATTTCAAGCTTATGGTATTGATACTGTTGAACCAGTATCGATACCCCTATACCAAAAATCATTCTTTTACTCTTGAAGTATCGATACTAGATGAAGCAGTACCGATACCCAAAGCTTATATTTCACTTCCTAAGCCCGAAAATTAACTCATATGCTTAAATCCTTCATGTCTTATTCCCTTTTATACACTTAACTTAAGTACACATACTCAAACCAATTTATATTCATCTAACACATCTTTATCTTCAAAATCTCCTCTTATATATTGAATTTAAGAATCCTACCAAATTTCCAACATGTTCTAATTTCCATTCTAACACTTCAAATTTCTTAATTAAGTTGATGACAAGTCAGTTCTAGTCTCAAACTTTATTTACTAACTCTCTTCCAAGATTTCACTTATCCCCCTGTTATCTTTAATCCTTTCTAACTCCCTCATCATTTGATTTTATGATAACTTAAGCTTTCTTTAAGCTTAAGTATCATCTAAAGAACATAAACTGAACTTAAATTCAATAAATAATCACTTAACAAGGAACTCACATTTTCCAATTATCTTTTACGCCTAAAGAAGAAGAAGGAGAGTTTTCTAGAGACTTTGCTTTTTGTCTCTCTTCAATTCCACGTGGTTTAAATATAACCACTACCAAAATTAATTATTTTCTTAACCAAATGACTACTTTGTCCTTCTATTCATCATTTTTTGCAATTCAATCCTACATAAAATTTCCATATAAGTCCTTAAACTTTTCAATTTATCTACTTTAGTCACTAAATTCTGATGTTTTTCAATTTGGTCACTAACCCAATATTGAGGATGTTACAATGAATGTGCTATCAAGAATTCTATACAAGGCTACTGAAAGAGGTATTTTTGGCTATCACCCTCGCTGCAAAAAGGTTGGTCTAACCCATCTTTCTTTTGCTGATGACCTTATTATATTCTGTAAAGGAAATGTTGAATCTGTTGTTGGTGTTATAAGTGTTTTAGACTACTTTTATGAAATTTATGGCCTCAAGTTAAATGCCTTTAAATGTGAACTCTTTGCTGTTGGTATCTCTTCTAGTAAACTTGAGGATATCAAAATGATTACTGGATTTAATCAAGGTTGTCTGCCAGTAAGATACTTAGGAGTTCCCCTGGTTACTAGAAAACTTTCTGATAAAGATTGTGTGGCTCTTATTGACAGCATCAGGTCACGTTTACACCAATGGTCAATAAGACATTTGAGTTATGCTAGTAGATTAGAATTAATCAAAACTGTCCTGCTTAGTATTACAAACTTTTGGTGTAGGCAGTTAATTCTGTCTCAATATGTCTTAAACAGGATTGAGCAGTTATGCTCTTGATTTTTCTGGAAAGGTTCAGATAAGGCAGCAACAGGTGCAAGAGTTAGTTGGGAGAAGTTATGCCTCTTGAAATCTGAAGGTGGGCTTGGACTAAAGGACATCAAGACTTGGAATAAAGCATGTATGATCAAATTGATTAGGAATATCCTTGCGGGTGAAGGGTCATTGTGGGTTGTCTGGCTAAAAAGTTACGTGATCAAGGATAATGACTTTTGGAACATGGAGGCTGTAATTAATTCAAGCTGGAGCTTTAGGCGTTTACTTAAAATGAGACTTGAGGCTTACCATGTTTTATCTTTCGGAGTTCAGCAGATTAGAGAAATTTGGGATCTGATTAGAACGAAGGGAACCAAAGTTACATGGCATAAACTGATCTGGTTTCCTCTTTATATTCCTAAGCTTAGTATTATTGCATGAATGGCCATCTTAGACAGACTTCCTACGAAAGATAGACTGAAACGCATGAGACTCGATATTGATGACAAATGTGTTTTTTGTAAAGACTCACTGGAAACAAGAGATCACTTATTCCTACACTGTCCTACAACTATTTCATTGTGGGAGGCAGTGTTGAACCTTAACGACATGCAAAGAAGATCGCTTTCATGGGACAATCATTTAGCGTGGGCTTGTGGTGATTGGAAAGGTAAATCCTTACTCGCAACTATTATGAAGTTAGCTTGGACTGCTTTAACTTACACTGTATGGGAAGAGAGGAACAAAAGATTATTCCAAGGCTACTCAAGAAATTTGGATGAGATAATCCATTTTATTAAGGAAAATGTTGTTATTCAATTAAGGGGTAGAAAAATTAATAGGAATAATAGTGTTAATATTACTCTTTGTAATCAATGGGTATAGATTAATTGATTTTTTTTGCTCTTGTAAGTAGGTGGTTCTTCTGTAATCAAGAAACTGGTTGTTTTTTTAGCAGTTTCTTTGCTCTTTGGGTAATAAAATTGAATTATCTAAAAAATAACGAATTAAAGTCTAGTTTTTTATTTTATATAATTATTCAAAATCAGAATTTATATATTAGATAATGACAGTTAATGTTAATCTTATTTTAGATACTAAATTTTATTTGAGTTGGCGGTAGGTCATCCTCGTTGGCATCATTTTCCTTCAGATTTTGATTTCTTTCCTTGGCTCTCTTCACCAAGACAAATGATTGAGTTTTGCTCCTTTTCTTTGTAATCAATTTGGAAATTTCGTTTTTGTTTTGGATCCTTATCTCTGATTTCGGTTGCAGTAATGAGCGCGTATAAGCTCGTGGTTCAATTACAGTTTAATGCGTGTTCGAGCTCCCTTGTTAACAGGGTTGGATACCGCAAGATTTCCCAACTCGTTAAATCCAACGGAAAGCGTGCATTTCTCGTCGATACATTAGCTCTGGTATTTCTTTCCTTTTTCCTTGTATTTTCTCTGAACTTCCTGTTTAGTTGCCGAGAGAAGTTACGAATACGGTGTAAAGTGAACATGATTTAGTGGTTATTTGAAAATCTTAGAAATGGAATCACTTCATTTGTTTGGCCTCTTTCGTTATGTTCTAGTTACTTGGCCGTAGGTCCGAAGTTTGGAGGCGCAAGGCGTGCCATCAAAACGAGCAGAGGCCATAACAGGAGCAATAACAGAAGTGTTAAACGACAGCTTGGAGAATGTTTCCCATTCTTTTGTTTCAAAGGCAGAAATGCAGAAGGTAAAGGATATGGTTATTAATTTCCATTTGCTTTTGTTTTCCGTACTCACACTGTTTAATTTTTTATCTCCCTTTGTCGTCTCAATGATGTATGATCTTCATCAGCATGTTGATAATAAGTTTTTCCTATGTTTTATTTTGTAGACTGAGATGCTTCAAGAAACCAATTTATCAAAGTTCAAGTCTGAAGTAAAAAGTTCCCAGGTACTCTTAATTTTAAGTGGCAAAGCTGACAAAAAGGGTTGTCTTATTATGTTCGCATTTCATTATGTATATCTTTCCGTTCCACAAGAAGCAAATACTTCAATCAATCTCTTACTGAGGCCGGTATTTGGGATTCTCTAGAAATTTGGTTGGCAGTAAGGAACAAGTTATCTTGCAGTTCATTCTATTTGATTTGATTATATCATGGCGGTGATGAGAAATCTTGTATAAACGGCGAGAGTGGGTTAGAGAACAGTACAGTTGGGAGTAGAAACTAGATACATACTTTAAAATTCAGGTGAAGTTGTTTCCGTGGTGAGAAACAGTGAGGTTTTGGAACAATGTTTGGTGGTTGACAACGTATCGAGTTTTTATTTTAGTAGTTATTATAAGATGAAGTAGAGTGAAAATGAGATGGAGAGTCTAGTAGCGGTTTCTCCATTGGATTATGTTGGAAATTGTTAGGTATGGCTCATAAATATACCAGTAAAGAGGACAGGAGATGGAGCGGAGTGAGCGAAGCGAACGCAGCGAACATCAACTGTCCTTACAAAGAAAGTCTCGTTGTGGGGTTACGAATTATGTGGGTTGGGGGTGCGGGGGCGCAGTCCCCGCGGTACGGTACAGGGTTAATTTTGTAATTATGTACCAGGGTTTTCTATTATAAATAGAGATGTAACCTAGACCTAAAAAAATGATTGAATAAAAACTTCTAGCGCCGCCTAGGCACCGAGGACGTAAGCACATTGCCGAACCTCGTAAAATTCTCGTGTTCTTTTGTTTTCTTTACCCGTTTTCGTCAACAATTGGTATCAGATGTCAGGAGCAAAATTCGAAGTCGCGAAATTCGATGGTCAGGGTAACTTCGGATTATGGCAAACGAGGGTGAAGGATCTATTGGCGCAGCAAGGGATCTTGAAGGCTTTGCGATCTACAAAGCCGGCGTCGATGGATGAGGAAGATTGGGAAGAATTGCAGCAGCGAGCGGCAGGAACCATACGATTATGCTTGGCGGACGAGGTCATGTATCACGTCATGCATCTATCGTCTCCAGACGAAATTTGGAGGAAGTTGGAAAGTCAGTTTATGTCCAAATCCTTAACGACAAAACTGTATCTGAAGCAGCGGCTGTATGGGCTGAAGATGCAGGACGATCACGATTTGGCACAACACGTGAATGTCTTCAATCAAATCGTTTCTGATCTGGCTCGGCTTGATGTGAAAATTGAGGATGAAGACAGAGCGATGATTCTGTTGTGTTCGTTGCCTCCCTCTTACGAACACATGGTGACTACTCTTACATATGGGAAAGAGACTATCAATGTTGAGGAGATTACTGCAGCCTTGTTGGCTCATAACCAGCGGAAGCAGAATGCAGGGGAAAGCTCTCAAGCCGATAGCTTATATGTCAAGGGTAATCGAGATCGTGGACGGAAGCCAGAGAAGGCAGGGTCCGGGAAGCGGAATTCCAGATCCAAATCCAGGGATAAGAAGACGATTCACTGTTACAAGTGCAAGGAGGCGGGACATATGAAGCGAGACTGTCCGAAGTTGAAAAAGCAGACTGATGAGAAGCGTGATGGCTCATCCAAGTCTGTGAACGTGGTCGAGGATGATAATTCTGATTGCAGTGAGGGTGATATGCTTTCTATTTCAACGACACAATTGACGGATGCTTGGATTCTTGATTCTGGATGTTCTTATCACATCACGCCAAATAGGGAATGGTTTTCGACATACAGGCCGGTTAATTCTGGTTCGGTTTATTTGGGTGATGATCGATGTTGCAATATTGTTGGTATTGGTGATGTCAGAATTAAGATGCACGATGGCTCCGTTCGGACGTTGAGTGGTGTTCGACATATCCCAGACTTGAAGAAGAATTTGATTTCCTTGGGCACTTTGCACAAGAATGGTTTTATCCCTAAGGCTGACGAGGATAGGGAAACCATTCGGATTGTTAAAGGAGCATTGACTGTGATGAAAGGCAAGATGACTGCAGGGAATATCTACAGATTGTTAGGGAGTACCGTTGCAGGTGGAGTTCACTCTGTTGAGTCCTGTGATGATACGACAAAATTGTGGCATATGCGCCTTACTCATCTTAGTGAACGTGGTATGGCAGAATTACACAAGAGAAACTTGTTGCATGGTGTCAAAGCTGTAAGCTCGACTTTTGCAAGTATTGTGTTCTTGGTAAACAGACTAAAGTCCGTTTCAAGACTGCGAAGAACACAACTCAAGGGATTCTTGATTATGTGCATTCTGATGTATGGGGGCCTTCCACGACATCGTCTTTGGGTGGATCTAGGTACTATGTTACTTTTATTGATGATTTTTCACGGAAAGTTTGGGTGTATTTTTTGAAACAGAAATCTGAAGTTTTTGAGAAGTTCAAGCTGTGGAAAGCTGAGGTAGAAAACCAAACAGGACGAAAAATCAAGTGTTTGCGGTCTGACAATGGTACGGAGTACACAGATTCACAGTTCCTACAATTCTGTAAGGAGCATGGGATTCAGAGGCATTTTACAGTGCGCAAGACACCACAACAGAATGGTGTTGCAGAACGAATGAACAGGTCGTTGAATGAAAGAGCCAGATGTTTGCGGTTGAATGCGGGGCTTCCCAAACACTTCTGGGCTGAGGCTGTTAACATGGCGTGTTACCTTATCAACAGATCGCCAAGGGCATCGCTGGCTGGGAAAGTTGTAGAAGAGGTATGGACTGGTCATGATGTTAGTTTTGATAACTTACGGATTTTTGGTTGTCCTGCTTATGTGCATGTACCTGCTGATGAGTGATCCAAACTTGATGCAAAATCGAAGGAGTGCATTTTTCTGGGTTACAAGAAAGGTGTCAAAGGATTCAAGTTCTGGGATCCAGTTGCGAAGAAAGTTGTGATTAGTAGAGATGTCATTTTTGATGAACAATCCATGTTGCAGCAGAAGCAAGACACGACAGTGGTGGATTTCGAGCAGTTTCCAGTTGAGAAACCAGAAACTTCTCAACCGACTTCTGGTGGTTCCACTACGGATGATTTGCAGGATTATAGTCTCGCCAGAGACAGGGTGAGACGGACGAATATAAAGCCTCCGAACAGATTGGGTTTTGAAGACTTGATATCTTTTGCACTTATTGTTAACAGTGATGATCCGGTTACTTTTCATGATGCCGTTACTAGTCAGGAAAACGACAAGTGGATGGCAGCCATGGTTGAGGAGATGGAGTCTTTGAATCACAATCGCACATGGGAGTTAGTTCCCCTTCCTGAGGGTAAGAAGCCGATTGGTTGCAAATGGGTGTATAAGAAGAAACCAGTAGTAACAGAAAAAGAGGGGGAGAAGTTCAAGGCTCGTTTGGTAGCGAAGGGTTTTTCACAGCAGAAAGGAGTTGATTATGATGAAATCTTTTCTCCTGTGGTTAGGCACACTTCAATCCGAGCAGTACTTGCATTGGTGGCTAGTTGGGATTTGCATTTAGAGCAGATGGATGTTAAAACTGCTTTTTTGCATGGTGATTTAGAGGAGCAGATCTACATGCGACAACCTGAAGGTTTCACTCAACCTGGAAACGAGCATTTAGTTTGCAGATTGAAGAAATCTTTGTACGGGTTGAAACAGTCTCCGAGACAGTGGTATAAACGGTTTGACTCCTATATGATCAAGATTGGCTACAACCGATGTGAGTATGATTGTTGTGTCTATGTTAAGAGCCTTGATGATGGTTCTTTTATTTTTCTATTACTGTATGTTGATGATATGCTGATTGCTGCGAAGAACATGGATGATGTTATCGGTTTGAAAACTTTATTGAGTCAGGAATTTGATATGAAAGATTTAGGTGCTGCAAAGAAAATTCTTGGAATGGAAATTTGCAGGGACAGAGACTCAAGGAAACTGCGGCTATCTCAACGGGGTTATGTTGAGAAAATGCTAGAAAGGTTTGCGATGAGCAGCGCGAAACCAGTTAGCACTCCATTGGCGAATCACTTTAAGCTCTCATCAGAACAGTGCCCCAAGACAGATAAGGAAGCTGAAGATATGGCAAAGGTTCCGTATTCTAATGCTGTTGGCTGCTTGATGTATGCGATGGTATGTACTCGTCCTGATTTAGCTCATGCTGTTAGTCAAGTTTGTAAGTACATGTCTAAACCTGGTAAGCAACATTGGGAAGCAGTCAAGTGGATCTTTCGGTACTTAAAGGGTACTGTGGGACATGGAATTGTTTTTGGGAGTCAGCGGGATAATCCTTTGGTTGTAGGATATGTGGATTCAGACTATGCAGGTGACTTGGATAATAGAAGATCTACGACAGGGTATGTCTTTACTCTTGGTGGAGGGCCTATTTGTTGGAAGTCTACTGTTCAATCTATTGTGGCTCTATCTACAACTGAAGCTGAGTACATGGCAGCGGCTGAAGCTGCAAAAGAAGCTTTATGGCTTACTGGTTTAGTGAAGGAGTTGGGTATTCAACAAGGTGGAGTTCAGTTGCTTTGTGATAATCAAAGTGCTATTCACTTGGCTAAGAATCAGGTGTATCGTGCTAGAACTAAACATATTGATGTAAGGTTCCACAAGATCAGAGAGTTGGTTGCATCTGGAGAGGTTTTGTTTCAGAAGGTACATACTGATGAAAATGCCGCTGATATGTTCACTAAGCCAGTTACGACAGACAAGTTCAAGCATTGCTTGGACTTGTTGAATGTTTCGAGTTGTTAAAGAATCAAGGTAACCCAACCCACATTGAATTTTCCAAGAGGCAGGATATTCGCCATGGTGGAGATTTGTTAGGTATGGCTCATAAATATGCCAGTAAAGAGGACAGGAGATGGAGCGGAGTGAGCGAAGCGAACGCAGCGAACATCAACTGTCCTTACAAAGAAAGTCTCGTTGTGGGGTTACGAATTATGTGGGTTGGGGGTGCGGGGGCGCAGTCCCCGCGGTACGGTACAGGGTTAATTTTGTAATTATGTACCAGGGTTTTCTATTATAAATAGAGATGTAACCTAGACCTAAAAAAATGATTGAATAAAAACTTCTAGCGCCGCCTAGGCACCGAGGACGTAAGCACATTGCCGAACCTCGTAAAATTCTCGTGTTCTTTTGTTTTCTTTACCCGTTTTCGTCAACAGAAATGAAGGAAATCTCCTCATTGAGCTGGTTTGGATTGAATTTATGTTTAACATTTTGGCTTGGCCCCTTGTGGGAAGGTTTCTTTCCTTATGATTTGATGTCATGGTGATTCTCAGAATAAGTAATTCTAAATGTTCTCTTTAGTTTTAAGTTGTAACTCATCTGTTCTTAATTATCATTGAGAAAAGACCATCAGATGGTTAACTTACCATCTGAGTTTGGTTTCTTACGTTTTCTTTTTAATGCAGGAGTATCGTTTTTCTATGCTGCAACGGGAAACTGAAAAGCTTAAAGGTGACAGAAAAAATGCGAAGTGAACTAAGGCATGTTTTATAGGGTATAAGTCAATGTTTCTTACTTTTCTATAAAATTTCTAGCTTGATTTTATACAACTGGTCTTTCAAGCAGGTATGAAATTGACAAGGTCACTGCTGGCTGGATTTGAATCTTGAAAGAGGGTAGGTAGTGCTATTTTTCAATTGCTTCTCTTCATTACTGCACTTGCTTTATTCTGTTATTTCAGGCATTTATTTTCTTAATATTAACGGATTTCAGCCGCATACGTGATGAACTGGCCAATCAAAATGCAGAAACTACCAACCTAACGAACAAGCTAGATAGGGTGAGCTTGCATGTTTATTTTCATTTGATGATCTTTGTGTTGGGGGGGGGGTGACATACAGATGTTAACCTGGCATTTTGAACCGTCTACAGGAAATTCATGCCTTAATAGCCCAGTTGGAAGCTGCAAAATATGATGTGGTTAAGTACTGCATAGGTACACTTGTCTCCATCTCTGCCGTCGGCTTAGCCGTACTCCGCATCTTGATGTAACATTGCATACTGTTTCCGGTAGCGATAACATCTCCTCCATAAATACCGAATTTCACTCATTTATGGGCAACTTGAATACTCGGCCGGAAAAAAAGGGTGAGAATTAATTTGTTGTCATAGCGCAAATGTCTAGATTGGCCAGGGAAGACAATTCCTAGTTGACCGGAATAATTGTTGGTGCTTCTTTAAGGATTAAGCACCATTTATTCTGTGCAATTATATGTTTACTTGGTATGTTTCAAATTTTAATGCTATTCTAGGGAAGGCAAAGGAGCTAGGTGTAGAATATACGGCTGCTAATTGCCCTTTTAATTAGTTGATATACATTGATAAAATATGTTTGAAATGTTTTCTATATGATTTTAGGGGTGATTTGATCGGGGGGTGCTTAATGAGTTGAGTAGTTCGTGAGCAACTCGAACTCGACTTGGTCAAAGCTCAGTAAAATCTCGATTCGGGTTGACTCGACTTGAGTCCTTAACGAGTTGAGCCGAGCAAAGTCTAACCCGACTTGATAAATTTGCTAGTAGTTTGTTATTTTTTATAATAATTTTTTTAGTAGTTACCTTAAAAAATTATTTTATTAAAAAATTATTAATTTACTAATATATAATAAAAATGATAAATTACTGATTTATTAATTTTTGAATAAATAATAAAACAATTACATTTATTAATTAATATTTTATTACACTCAAAACTCATCCCATGTCACGTATCACTATCTAGTTGGAGGATTAATTTTATTTTAATATAATATATTTATTTTTACCAATCAAAGAGTGACATGTGTCATCCTTTAATTGAAAGAAAACAAAAGAAAGTAAATTATGTTAAAATTTATTTAAAAATATGATTAAATTGAGAGAATATGTAAATAATAGAGATTGAATGTGTGATTATACCTATTACTATCACGTCACATTAATTATTAACAACAATTAATCCGTAATTACTACGTCTTAATTAATATTTTATTACACTCAAAGCTCATCCCATGTCACGTATCACTATCTAGTTGGAGGATTAACTTTATTTTAATATAATATATTTATTTTTACCAATCAAAGAGTGACATGTGTCATCCTTTAGTTGAAAGAAAACAAAAGAAAGTAAATTATGTTAAAATTTATTTAAAAATATGATTAAATTGTGAGAATATGTAAATAATAGAGATTAAATGTGTGATTATACCTATTACTATCACGTCACATTAATTATTAACAACAATTAATCCGTAATTACTACGTCTTAATTAAATAAAAACAAAAGTGACATATCTTATATTTTTTTTAAATTAATAACCAGACAAAACATAAACGTAAGTGATATTCTATACAATTAATCATGATTATAAAATATTATTTATTCTAAATAATTTCAATCATTTCATAAATAAAATTCAATCATGCTATTACAACTTATAACTTACAACGGTGACGTTGGAATCTATAACTGTTAAAAATAATAAAAGTTTTTATCTACTAAGGGACTGTTTGTTTGCCTCTTAATGGAATCATTAAATGCTGAATGCTGAATCGTTCAACATTCAACGCATTTGTTTCGTACCTCTGAATGATTCAGTACTGACTAATTTAACAAAACAATGTTGAATAATTTAGCACAGAAGTACATTCTGAATGATTCAGAGTCATTATTAAATAACATGTCACATTCATAATTAATTCATATAGAATCTCTGAATAACACTTAATCATTCTAAAATAAACAAACATCCTCTCAAACATTCAGTTTCAGATTATAGCCTTCAAGAAATATCAAAATATCAGTCACAAAATTTTACCCACCGCAATATACCCCGATGGCTCTTTCACTTAACCACCCTCACCATCTCAAAAACAGCAAAATAAATAAATAGATCAAAATTCCCAAATCCCAAGGCAACCGTTTACCGATTTCTCCGTTTATTGCTCTTTGAATCTATCGGAAAAAAAGCTCCGTTTTGCTTTCCGGTGGATGGAAGCGATCAGAAAACAAGCTACGCGACTCCGTGAACAAGTCGCCCGCCAACAACAGGTCCATCTATCTCTTTATCCTAATTCGAACTCGAACTTCATTTTTCTTCATAGTTGCTTTAGATCCAGGTCAACGCCTATTTCTCAGCTGCCTACATGATGTATCTCTATATTTTTTCACGCTCACGCGCTCGCGCACATACACACACATATTTGCGTTTTGTCGTCGATCTGATTTTCTTTTTAATCTGCATAATTTCGAATCAGTGTTCGAATTTCAAGTAAGTGTCGGATCTATTTCCACGTGCCTAATAGCGCGTTTATGATTCGTGAATCGGATCAAAATAATTCGGAAATAATTGGAGTAGTTGTTGTGTGAGTATTAAACTGAAAATGAAGAGTTATTGAATGTTATATTATTAGCTAAATTGAAATTTTTGAAGTTGAAGGATGGAATTTGAAATTGAAATCTGTAGTCTTTTGAAATATTGTGTTTCAATCGAATGATAAAAGTGAAAATAAATGTAAATTGTTTATCTTTTTTCCTTTTGCAATTTGTTAGAAACTCCTCAGTATGTTTTATTTGTTTCGGATTGCCATATACGCGGAGAGCTTATCTTGTTTTAACTTGAAGGCCTTACTATGTTCTTGTTCTTTTGAATTTATTCTTTAACTTTTCCTCCTGAATGTTACTCCAGGCTGTCTTCAAACAGTTCGGGGGATATGTAGGCTCAGACAATGTAGTTACTGATGAGGCAGAATTCCAGCAACATCAGAAGCTTGAGAAGCTTTATGTCTCGACTCGTGCTGGCAAGGTTGCTAAGTTGTTCTACTGCATCAGATTTTGTCTCCCGTGTTCTCTTCATTTACCTTTGCCAATTTTGTGTTTCAGCATTTTCAAAGGGATATCGTCCGTGGTGTCGAAGGATATATCGTCACTGGGTCCAAACAAGTTGAAATAGGCGAGTTCATGAAGCATTTTTTAATTTTTAAAAGTTTCCACTTTGAATTCAATGGAACTGACATTATTGTTCTGTCATGTACATCTTTTCTTGACAGGGACAAAGTTGTCTGATGATAGCAGGAAATATGGTTCTGAAAATACTTGTACCAGTGGTAATACATTATCGAAAGCTGCATTAGGTTATGGACGTGCTCGAGCTCAAATGGAGAAAGAACGTGGGAATCTGCTAAAGGCTCTTGGGACACAGGTTGGTGTTAGTATTTTCATTACTAGAACATAAAACCGTAGAAAGTTAGTCTATTAAGTTCATGAATACATGGAAGAAAACTTTTTTGTTAATATTGGTTGTTCGATGAGCTGTACATGGATTACTCATTTTTACATTTGTTTATCTTTTATCCCTAATTATATAATAGACCATAAAATCATCTGGATATTTTTTCAATGATTTGAATGTTAGGTTGCCGAGCCACTAAGAGCAATGGTAATGGGAGCCCCTTTGGAGGATGCACGACATCTTGCTCAGCGTTATGACAGAATGCGACAAGAAGCTGAAGCACAGGTTTTATAAGCTATCAATTCCCTGCTGATTGGTTGAATACCTGCCTGTTTTAGTTTCTGAGGAATATACACTCATTTATGTAAATATAGTTCCAAACAATTAGGGGTATCACGTGAAAGGCTGGAAAGCCAGCTAATAGTTGGGAAGATGGGCTTATTGCAGGTCTATTCACGATGTTTTGTGTTCTATTTTCTATATAATAGTTGGGAAGATTCCTTGCGTTTGATGATTATGAAATCTTAAATTTGAGAGGCTGATTGTACTACGTAGTTACACCATTTCTTGAACATACGACAGGCAATCGAAGTTTCAAAACGCCAAGCAAGAGTTAGGGAAACACCAGGAAATCCTGAGAATGTCATGAAACTGGAATCTGTGGAAACAAAACTGCAAGATCTGATGTCAAACATGGCAATATTGGGGAAAGAAGCTGCCGCAGCAATGTCTGCTGTTGAAGCTCAACAGCAGAGGTTGACACTTCATAGACTTATTGCTATGGTAATGCAAATTTCCTTCTGTATAAAATTTTAATTTTATTTTAAATGTCTGCGAACTTAATTTTAATATTTTTTTCCTATTTTATCTTGAATCGGAAGGTTGAAGCTGAACGTACATATCATCAACGAGTCCTTCAGATACTCGATCATCTTGATGCCGAAGTATGAACATGCTACTGAATCATTTCTCAATATTCTTTTGCTGAAACTTACGGTGCAATATTAGTACTACCATATAATTTTCTCCATCTTAATAGATGAGATCCGAACGACAACGAATTGAAGCACCTCCTCCCCCAAGTGTAGACACCATGCCTCCACCTCCACCTCCACCTCCATCATATGAGGAAGTTAATGGAGTTTATGCATCTCAAACAACTAATGGGTCAACAGACAGCATGGGCTACTTTTTAGGCGAGGTTTGTGACTTGTTCGTAAATACCATCAGCAGATTGGGATCAACAAGTTGCTTTAATCTGTGCGATGGCCAACTAATCGATGTATTACTACAGGTCATGCACACATATAACGGTGAAACCGATGTGGAGCTATCTTTGTCAGTTGGTGACTATGTAGTTGTGCGAAAGGTTTGACGACGACTCAAGTTTTAACAATTTTACTTTCGTATATGATTTCCTAGCATCTAGTATAAATCCAAGGATCCATTTTGTATAAACTCGTGGGTCTTTTACAGGTGACGAACAATGGCTGGGCTGAGGGTGAATGCAAGGGGAAAGCGGGTTGGTTCCCTTTCGGATACATCGAAAGAAGGGACCGTGTCCTTGCAAGCAAAGTAGCAGAAGTTTTCTAACACTTTCCCTGCGTGTTGGTGTCCGGGAAGACTGATTTTGTATGTGCATCTTCTCTCTCTTTTTTGGTGGTTTATTTGTGCTTATATGTGTATTTGAGTTGGAGAGTTCGTCACAAATAGAAATTTTCTTCTCAATATGTGAATACGTTTTTGCGTTTCAGTTCATCTTTAGGGTTCATGTTTGATAAATAGTTCTTGAATGGTTTGATTTTTGTTTGTTTTTCAATTTAATTAAGCCAACACAAACAAGATTTTGAAGTTTGTTTATTGAATGAACCGAACGCCATCAAGGCTTATTCGTTGTTGATGATCAAAACTCGTTTATGATTTTTTCATTTAAAGTTTATTTAGTAAATTACTTAAATCTCGTAGAATTTGTTTTAATTTTTCAATTATTATTATATAATTAATATTTTTTGTATATGTATTTATTTAATTTTAGTTATAATCAAATTATTAATATTTAAAACATAAGAAATATGATTTAAGTATTTATGTTTAAAATCTTGTTTTTATCTATCCATTGTTATATAATTAATAATATTTTTCTTAATTATTTGTTAAGGGTCAATTTGACATTACTTTTGAAAAGTGAAAAGTGAATTTTAAAAGTGTCGTAAAAATTATTTTTTTTTAAAATGTTAGTTCAAAAGTAATTGTTATTAAAAAATGGGTTTGAAAAGAAAATTTTCATTACAGACATTATGTGTAGATTAAAAATATAACATTTAAATTATATTTACATTTGTATAAGAATTATATCAATTAAACTATAATAAATTCATAAAATATTATTATACACAAATTATATTAATTTAAACTATAATAAAAATATAAAAAATTCAAATAAGAAATATAATTATAATAAAAATATATTTATATAATTCATTATTAATATTTTATTATATAAATTTTGAATTTTACTTATTTTTTAAATAATTAAAATAAATTGTTTGTAACCCCTTAGACCTGGCCTGGACATTACGACCGAATCTAGGTGGTCACATGTCGTATACAAAAATCATTTTTCAGTGAATAAAATTCGTATAATGGTAAATATACAAAAATTCGTATAACGGTAAAAATGTGAAAATGTGCAACAGTAAAGTTCAGACGGTAAACATATACATATACTATCATCGTAAGTTTGTATAAAACATGTCCAGAAACAAAATATCGATAAGATAGATACATAAAAACAATAGTAAAAAATGTGTCACCAAGATATAATATAAAAGACATATAGAAAGATATAGTGGGTACAAAATGGAGAACTGCAGGTCCTCATGATGCCAAGTCTATTAGCCTATGGACTGGTAGTATCTGAAAGGTTAAAAATTAAAGAGTGAGCTATAAAGCCCAATGTCCTCTTTGCGGTGTATAAAAACATTTATATAAATACTTCGATAAAAATTGATTTATAAAATAGGTTTTGAAAACATGAATACTACCCTCATCCGAACTTCAATCTTACACCCACATGTACACCCAATAAGAACCTTATACTAATAACATAAGGGCCTGTGGTAAGGACTTACCTTATGCACAAAGTAGAGGAGCCTGCGGTAAGGTTTTATAAGTCATAGATTAAGTCTGAGATACTACCTCCAATCATACCCCCAATGATGGTAGATATATATGTATTTGAGTGAAAACAATAGTTTAATTTACTAAAACATTAAAACATACCATATACCAAAATCATATATAGGAATAAGTTAACCAAAGATTATGGTAGAAGTATATAGTAAATAAAATATCATGCAATCAAAATATTTAATAAAATCAGAAATTTAAAACAATTTAGACAGATATTTCAAAACAACACTATAACACCAATAGGAACACATATGCATCGATCTGAGAAGTCTGGAACGATAGCCTACTCTTGGGTCTGACTATCACGGTTGACGACAGTATTAGATCGAGTAGCTATCGAAGAACGTGGACCGTACGAATCTGCTGAACGAAAAGTGTCGAACCTAGTCGGCCCTCGGCTAAGGGAATCATGAGTACCTTCATAAAAATATAATCCTAGATTAATCCTATAATTAAATCCCAAATAACTATGCAGATGCTAAAAATACTAAGCAGTTTCGATTTAACGGGCTCAATTCCAGGCTTTTGGGTTAGAATTTGACAAAACAGACCGCAAAATTAGATTCAGGACATCAAAAAACGTAAGGGAGATTTTCAAAAAAAGTCAACGCTGGTCAACAATCAACAGTTCGGTACGTTTGGACCAGTTAGGTGCGGTTCGAAAATAGGCCTATCTGGTTGGGCCGAATGGGTCAGATGGGTCGAACAGGTTGGATCGGGAAATCAGGTCGGTTATGGGTTGACCCTCTTTTAGAAGCCCACCTGGGCGATGGATAAGCCCCACGTGCAAGTGCAGTGCATGAGGGGCGTGCGACGACGTTTAATATCGAAAAATTTTAGAAAAATACTATAATTCATTTTAACTGGTTTTGAGACACTTACCTAGCTTGGTTCATAACAATGAACGGCGGGGAGCTCGATTCGATAACGTCAAAAATTTTGTTTCACCTCACCCCTTCACACGCTAGCAACTATGATGAATAAACAAACACCTGTGAACCCAATGTGACACGAAGAATCCAATGATACAAGTGTTGTAGTAAACGGAGCAACGAACACCGTTTTAAAAGTTGCTAAAAAGGAAAGTTTGGAGAGAAAGAGAAAGTGAGGTTTCAAATGGGGAAGGTTTATGGGGAAATTATACAGTACCGCAGTCTTAATATACGACTAAGGAAAGACGCTACTTGAAATGTTATTATTTTTTTAACATTTCTAGTGAAAAATTACCTAAAACATTATTTTTTTACCTAAAACATTAATTTTTTTAACATTTCCAGTAAAGTGCCCAATATTAATATTTTCAGTAGAAAAATTAATGTTTTAGGTAGCGCTTTACCACCTATTTAACAAACCCGGTAAAAAATCCAATAATAACATTTCCGGTAGAAATAATAATGTTTTAGGTAATTTTTTACCGAAAATATTAAAAAAATAATAACATTTCCGGTAATGCCTTTTCTTAACCGTACCCAGGTTTTTAGTTTTGGGTTTTAAACCCAACACATTTAGGAAATGACAAAATTATGCTATAAGTCGTTAAGTCCTTCCTAATTTGTGAATTTGTCCCAAATTTAATGAAAAATTCAATTTGGTCCTCAAATTTAATCAAAATCTCAAATTGAACTCGGAATAAAGTTAAGAAAAAGATTTAACCCCGAAATTTGGGTGTGACATTGCTAAAAATAATAAATTAATTTTTAAGGATGTTAGTATTAAAAATAAAATATAATGGAGCTCATGCATCAGTAAGAGTAAAAATATAAATTTACTTCTAAACACAAAGTTGAAATGAAAAAGATAGAAATTTTAATTTTTTTATTATTTTAAAATTATGTATTCTTTTAATTTTTGTCCGTTTGACATTAATTTTATAATCAATACGAGCTTTTTTAACTAAAATTATTTTTAGACTGCATTACCAAACAGGGCATAAGACTCGTTCAATTTATTTATGTTCTTGAATGAATTTATTTATATGTGTTTAAAAACTTGTGTTTTTGTTGTATAATTAATAATCAGCTACAGCGGACTACAAATATACATGAAGAGTTCATTTTTCATACACTCAGAATGATATATGTTTTAAAAACTTGTGTTTTTATATGAACAAAGAGTAAAGACGACGACGAAATTGTTACATTTTTTGTTATTTCAAGTCTAAAGACTTGAAATTCATTATGCCCTCTAACAATAAAACATGGCCCTGCACAAAGGAAAACGACAAGTGAAACCATCACATCACGGTGAAATTCATTATTTTTACGAGCTATATCGATCTGGATGGACACATTATTTTATATACAATACAAACTTTTAAGAAATTATATTGCACGAAATTATAGAATTTCAAGAATACAAAATTAAATCATCAATAAAAAATATATACATTTCTATGAGAATTTAAAAAGGGAGGTCCATCTCTAGGTATCAAGAAACCATCTTGTATCCTTAATTAATATTTTAATAAATGAAAGAAACAACGGATTTTTTACCCAGCTTGTGTAACTTTTTTTTTTTAAAAATCTATCTACAAATGATAACACTTTCATTATACGGGTAAGAAAACTTACTAGTTGTTAGGCCAATTGGAAATCCGATTAGCCAAAATAACGGCCAATATAATGAAAAGGGTGACGGCCAATCAGTACGTATCCTTGGAAATATAGATAAAAGGATGCCGGAAAACGGTCACGGTAAACTCACCAGAAGTGCAGTGTAATTGGACTGACTCGGAATAATGTAAGATTTCCTCGTAAAAATGTCTTTTCAAGTATGATGATACGAAATAACAAAAATAAAGCAAATAAATATGAAACTTTGGTAGACCTTTCATTCAGGACCCCAGAGTGCCTGCAAGTCTTGAGGATTGAATCTAGTCTGCTCAACGTTTTTTGTGCATTGGGATCGTTACGGTCGACCTAGAATGCGGGATAGAATATGAATATGAATATGATGACATTATCGTGCTCGGATTAAGTTGGTATACCATTACCAAAATATTAAGAAGAATTGCATACCTTAGCTTTCAACATACAAGAAAAATCATAAAAAGCACAGTAGACATCAGCCATCGTGTTTGTTCGGTCTATGACTTTCGCAGTGAGACCTGGAAACACAGCCAAAGATAAATTCAAGTAATGTTCGACACAAAGTGGCAAATTCGATTTACATAAACAAGTTGAAAGAACTTCAACCCCTTTAAGGGTTGATGCCTCTGATGTTTAAACTTCAAAGAAAACCAATCCGAAGACTAATGAACTTGCCACGTCTCATTTTCACTACGCATCTGAAGACTTCTATGTTGTTGAAGCACATGGCTAGTGTTCCAATAGCCATGACCTAGTAATTGACGGACACAAGGAAAATAGAGATAAACTTGAACAGATCAATATTTGTCAAAGATGACATGCAACTAAATCGATATACAAGAGTGAAAAAGAAGTGATGAAATACTGTCTCAAACCTGAGGTATAGCACAAAATCAAAAGATTGAAGGATTACGTAAAGCAGATAAGTACTTCAGGCAATCGTCCACATGAATTAGAGCATTAGTGATCATGT